AAAGGAAGGACACTTGTGTGGAGAGATGGGAGGTATGGGAGATGAGATTTAAATGGTAAGTTGATGAATTCCTCAGGGTCCTGAATGTCATACAATGAAGTTCAAGTTTTACCTTGTAGGGAAGGGAAAGCTAACCAAATCCTTGCAATTTTTCCTTTCACTTCATCATATTCATTCATTACTATGGAAAATAATACCAAAGGGGTATTATTTTTAAAGAAAGAAGTACCAATCACTCTAATACTACAAACATCTTCATTTTTTGCTTTATTTCCCTCTAGTCTTTGTTGAGAGGCATATATTTTCATCATTACTTTGTAATCAATGTATATAGACAATTTTGAAGTATGAATTTTATAATTAACATTGTATCAGAAACACTTTTCCATACTTCCACCTGCTATCAAGGATTTTCAAGAGTGGGACTAATTCAACCAGACATTTTCTTTAGGAAGGTAATTCTCAACATAGTAGGATGAATGGAATACAGGAAAGAAAGACTTAAAGCCAGTGGCCTCTCTTGGAAGTGGCTGCAGTATTCCAGGCAAGTGATGCTAACGGACTGAAACAGAACAAGAAACAGAGTGAGCAGAACATAAAGTATTTAAGAGGCAAAACCACAGCATGTGGTCAAGAGATGAAGTATAGGAAGAGGAGAGAGTGCCCAGCATCAGTGTCTGGCTAGCTGCTGATCCCGTTTCTCTAAACAAGGAACCCACACAAGGGAAGACAGAATAGCGACAGGTATAGGTCAAGCTTCCAGTTGAAGGCACCTGTATAATATCCACTTGGAACCACGTGAGAGGAAGGTGGAAGCCAATGATCTTAAACTAGGAAGAGAAAGAGAGAGCAAGGTCAGGCATTAGAGCAGAGCTTGATAATGATACCACGATGTGATGATGCCTTCAGGGAGAGCCTGTGCAGTGACGAACGCTGGTGAGTTTCTTTCAGTTTTCACTCCATCAGTGTGCAAATGTGGCAGTTCAATTCTAAGTTCTTTTGATGCACAGCAAACACTTCCCTTCAGAGCTCTCAAAGTGTCACCAAGGAAGGGTACCTTCCAAGTAAATCAACATCTGTTTTGAGGATGCCTATTATAAAACAAGGCACTGCATTTCCTGAACCGGTGTGGTTTTACTCACAGTTATACCAAACCACACAGCTTCTCTGAAGAACTGATGCAATTATTAGCCTGTGATAGCATCAGCAAGAAGATCGAGTTATAACACGTTTCACAGAAGGCATGCTTGGTACTGCTTTACAGAGCATTGGCTTAGGTACATGATAGGTATCTAACTCCTCTAAGCTAGAAAGCACTTAAGGAGCTTTCTAATGATGGTCTTCAGGGAGGATACTGGACTGGCTCTTACTTATATCTGCCTTCCAAAAGCAGCGCCTATGATTTAGATGGCCGTTTGGAAATTCTGCAGTTCTCAAGGGTGCTTCATGGTAAACAATACAAGTGACACAGTTGCTAATCAGACAAATGCTCTTTTACAACCAGCTTTTCACTTTTCCAACCACAGATGGCTACTTGTAAGGAAATACTCCATGCACTGCTAAAGACCTCCAAAACAGCAATGCCAGCATCTAGGATTTTGCTAAAATCACACGCTTTACAATTTCTTTAATTTTGTCCCGAGTTATTCCTCTACCTTATAGCCTTTAACAAAGATTCAAAGACACTAATATCAACAAACTGTACATTTCTCTTCCATAGCTGATAGCCTCCTGCATCACAAAGCAGCCCTCACCCCCACCCACCCAACTGGAAGAAGCTATGCAGAGGAAAATCTAGTCAGGTCACTGTGAGGCACCTATTAAAAAGCCTCTTTTGCCCTTAACACTGCTTTGGGAACCATGCTGTTTATGCCTTTCCTTAGCTGAGAACATGAGAGAAGGCCCATTGCTAATCCGCTCAGTTACACCTTTCTGCTCCCTCCCATCATCAAAATCCAATGCAGACCCAGAAAAAGATGCTTTCCTGTCACTGTGCATGAATGTGCCTCTTAACACAAACTTAATTCAACATCGGCACGACTTCTCTAAGTAAAACTGTGACGAAGCAAGAGTAAAAAAAAAAATGTTGCAAAAAAAAAAAGGTTGAATGCGTTTGATTGTGGTTACCTTAACAGCGAATAAATTGCCAGATTATCCCACTTCTTCCTTTATAGACTGGCAAGGCTTCTGTGAATTTTTCGGTTTGGTTTCCAACTTGACCTGTCATATCCACTACCAGGGCTGCATCCACCAGCAAGGGCGTTCAGGAGTTGCACCAGAAGCAACGACACCCTGCCAATCTCTTCTGCATCAATCCAAGCCCAGACTTGCCCTCGCTGGAGCAAGCAGAGGAGGGAAGGAGGGAGCCCAGTGTCACCACTGCAGTCTAACAGCAGATTCGAATCCCAGATCTGCCCCTGCCACTGTGAGTGCTCTGATGCGTGTCCACTGCAGCTTAACTTTATCTCTTTCAGCAATGGGACTGCTCTCCTTCCACCAAAATTTACAACCTGTGAGACCTAACAGCAGAAAGAAATATCATTCAAAATAAACTGCCAAGGGAGCAGGTATGGCATTGGGAGCCCAGGATGGAGTTCCTAGGTTACTACAGCCCTGCTCCCATCCCCAGATCTTTCTCCCATCCTGTCGCTCCATCCCAGCTCCCTGTATCTGCTGTTCCTGCTATTATGAGACTTGGGCAGGGGCTACGCCATTACTAGGGACAGTCAGTGTCAGTGACTGAAGAGAAAGCTCTGTAAAAAGGTTTCCAGAAGAGCCTCGAACCTGGGGGAACACTACACATTTAGACAAAACAGGTTTTCTAAGGGTTCAGACAATAAGCTGACTTCACATCCTGAAAAGGCGAGGCAATTGAAGAGTGAATGCAACCATCATGGTTTGATGCCACTTACGCCAACAAGCCAATATTTCCTGAGCACCTACGATGTACTCAGACCTAGACCCTAGGCTGTTGGTGAGGAGGCAGAGAGGAGGATGAAGAAGTAGACAGTTGTTCGCAAACCTCAGTGTGCAACAGAGTTATCTGCGGTGAGTTTCTTGGGCTCAACATCCCCAGAAATTCTGACTCATCGAGCCTGGTGTTGCTGATTCTGCAACTTTAATACGTGCATCCAGGTGATTCTGATCAGGAGGCTGTGGGGCTAGACCGCCCTTGAGAGACATAGGGCTATGATCTGATTCCTGCCCTCAGGCAGTTTACAACCCAGACAGAGTGATGGTGACTACCCATAAAGCAACGCGTAGCCATATAAGCTTTTATGATGCAGGCTCTACGTGTTAGAGGAGTTCATAAAGAAAGATGGGCAGTGAAGTCCTGAAAGGAAAAGAAGTCTTCACAAGACCTTGTGAACGTGAGTCAGGTGTAGTGGTCAGGCAGGACTTGGATAGAAGAAGACAGCCCCATGGGATCTTCTTAACCAGAACCCCTGATTCTGCATGACAAGGTGGCCACAGCCTATGGCATACATGAAAATGAAGACATGGGATAGAAGACTGCTACCAAACAAGTAGCAAGGCTTCGTATGTTGAATGCAAGGAGGACAGTATCACCAGGAGTGTCATAAAACTGGCATTGCCAGATAGTATGATTTGCATTTTCATTCTGCCACATTCATGTGGTTTCCTGCACTTCATAATTTAACATTTGTAGGAGAAAAAAAATGCTGTTATGAAACCCAAATAATGCACCACTCTGGGGCCACCAGCCATTAGCTAACAAGATGTGTGAGCATCATTTAAAGTGTCATTCACAGCTCTGCTTCAGAAAGTGATCTTTAGTAAGAAAGGAAAATAAATTCTTATCAATGTAAAACAAGGTTTGAGCTTCTATGGGGTTCAAGGGCTGGCAAATAACCCATAACACAGAAGGAAAAAGTTAGATCCCCAACAGAAAAAGAAGGGGCAATAATTCAAAGGAAGCCTATCTCGTGTACTCAAATATTATAGTCCGCTAACACTGTGCCATGTTTTCTTCAATGCTACGAGGGATAAATTATTAACTGTAGATCCTGCAAGGCCCGCTTGGTCAATGGGCTGGTTCACAAAATTGGTGCCATCAGGGAGAAGGGACCCCCCCAGGTTCCTGACCCTTTCTTCCACACTAATCCAATGAGCCCCTCTGCAAATGATGACTTGCCAAGGGCACACAATAAATTCTGCTAAGCAAGAATTAAAGGGTATAATTATTCCATTAATTTCACTAGAGTGGACTGTTGAATTTTAAATTTGCATTCGACTGTGGCCACCATCGAGGCATGTCCTCGTACCAAGAGGACGAGTAAGTTTGTCAGGTCACCGAGACAGATGGCCAGAACTAGGCTTCCGTCTGAGGGCTCTGTTTCCAAGAAATACAATCAACTAGGCTGATAAGACTTTCTTGGAAGTCCGCATTATTTTGGTGTATAGTTTTGAATTGTTCATTTATAGTTTGGAGCATTTAAATTTCACTCCCAAATCAAGACTGCCGTTCAGGACATCATGCTTAGTTAAAAGGTGAACTCAATAAACATTTGTTGAACAGGACTTGGAGACTCCCAATGCCTCTCACCTTTGCCCATCTCAACATTTCACTACAGGGTCACAAACCTGCCATCAGATTGAACTCCTATCTCTTATATGATGAATGCCTTATGCTTTCAGTTAAAATGGAATTATCTGGAAATGTACTTTGTTTGCCACTTGTGTGTTTAGTTGTTTGGGTTTTTTGGGGTGTGTGTTTTTTTTCTCTTTTTGGTCTTTTTCTAAAGACAAGTGCATTCTACTCAGATCTTACTCTTCTGCACATTCCAGAAACAAACACACTAAGTAAATTTAGTTGCTTTCTTGGCTCTCCATCATTAGGACAACATTTTCTCAAACATCCTGTTGCTTGGGCTGTAGAAAAATAGCCATGCACTTGAATGAGATGTCCTGGGACACCAAATAAATGATGACTGATGAGATTTAAGGCTGATGAATGCCAAGTTCTTTGGATGACTTACCCAACACCATTTGTTTCAAGACCATTCATGCAGGCTGAAGTCCACGCTTTCTCTCTTGCTCATGGTCTGTAGCAGCAGTCCTTCTGAGGCCTCCAAATAAACTCTTTCATTTTGCTCCAGTATGCTGCAGTAAGACAAAACAAAACACCAAGTCAGAATGAAAATGCCAATTCAAGCAGTTCGTTGATATTCAGGGGGAAATCCCTGGCTTCTCTCAGAGGTATATTTTATAACTTCAAACAGGCAGGTTAATTACCAGAACGAAGTTATCGCACAGCTGATCTACATATGGTACCCTAAAATACTGGATGTGGTGAAGGAGAAAGAAAGGAAGAAACAAAGCACCTGCTGGGTGGGTAATGCGTCTTGAAAACTATGACATTCACCAGTGGGGACGTGCTTGTGAAATTTCAAGTTTACTAACTGAAGTAAGGAAATAAAGAAGGATTCATTATGTTTCCATAATGAGAGATACTAACATGCAGTTGATGGAGGGTAGAAAGTGAAGAAAGTTTTATTTCAAATTAAAATTCATCTGATTCTGCCCATTAAACTCAGACCGATAGGACTAATATGAATAGTTTTAAATAAAGGACTACTGGGAATGAACAATAACAAAAAATGAAGTATAAGAGAGAGAGGGAATTTTCCATTTTGCACTGCAAACAAGTAATTGATGGGTTTTCGTTCTGACTCTTGATAAATGTTGATAAAGACCTTCTCCACCCAAGATGGAAAGCAGCATTTACTTAACACACTGAATGTGAAATGAATGGTTAAAATATGCATGCCTCTACCCCCACTCAGAGCAGCTGATAAAGCCTACACATTAGAACTGTGTGTGACAAGGTCGCTCTGAAAAGTTCTCTTCTGCCTTGAGAGCTTAAAACCCTCACTTGTCACAGGGTGTTGTTCTAGCTTCACCTGATGCTCAGTCAAATCCACCCCACTGTTTGTTTTTTGACAGTGGCCATTTGAGAGCCTGGAACTGGTCTTCAAAAGATATTTGCATCCTTTTTTTAGCCTTTTATGTGCTCCTCCTCATCTATTTTGAAAGCCCATTGGAAGGCTGTCACCTAGTTCTCTAACTATATGACTGCTTCCTCCTTGCAACTCTAAACCCCGTATGTATCTCTACAGGTCTTGAGGCAATCGCCACAGACCTCGCATCAAATAACCTAGTTGTAAGAGAGAGGGGATGCTTTTATGCTTCACTAGATAGCTGTGTGAATAATCACTTCCTTGAAAGCTTTCTGAAGTTACTGCTTTACAGAATACCCAACATTCTTTAAAAGGACTTTGGGGGGCTGTATATATCTGTGGTTAAATTCATGTAGGCACTTAAAACTTTTGAGGAGGAAGAGAAAGATTGGCTAATGTTTACACAAGTGAGTTGAGATTAAGACCATTATATTTTCAGTCTGGCTGGAAGAGCCACTGCCTGAAAATGGCAGTCTTTTCTTTTCTTGATGCTATCAATACATGGGGTTGTAACAATTTTATTAGTTTTCTGAGCACTTTTCATGAAATGTAACGCAGCTCCCACTCAAATGTGTAACAGGAACATATTGATACAAATCAACACAAACCAGGAAGTTCAAAGAATGACAAATTATCTTTAGTTCACCGTTTTGGTAAAAACAGAATTTGGAGAGAGGAGGACAACTTAGGCAAGCCCACAATGAGTTATTGGCTGGTATCAGTCTTCTTTTACAAAAAATAAATTGCTGCATTTCTCTTATCTGTTACCAGCTCTATATCTTGATATTGTAGAATGGGAACTGTCTTTGTCACCCAGTCCAAATCTCTTCTGCAAATTAAGCTGCTGGCCCAGCGAGGGTGATGGACCTCATAAAGTCACACAGTCAGTTCATTAGTACCTTGAGTAGACTCTGGGTTTAATCACTCATGCCCGTTGACCTCTTACTGGACATAATGTTGTTGAATGTAATGTAATGTGGTGTTGGCTCGAAAAGTTTTTTAAAAAGCACAATTTCTCTCACAGTATTGAGACCTCTTCCTTTCTTTTTCTGTTTTGTTTTTGCCCTAAAGAAAGAAACTCATTTTTGGATTATATTCTTGTCACCAAATGGAGCAAAATCTATCTAGGAGAGGCAGAATGGCTCCAATATTAGCTCTGGGCCCTTCACCAGCTGGCTGCTCAAGTCTGATGTCCAGAGAGGAGCAAGGCTTATACTATTTGTAGAACAGGGGAAAAAAGGATGCATCCAAGTGACAAGATTTTCCATTCTTATCTCTATAGACATGAAGGTGTTAGAACTGATACATTTTGTGATTTATAGCGGACCTTCAATTACACATAGTTCCACAAGAATAAGAGAATGTTTATCAAAGAAAACCCCTGAAAAGTCTACACACCTCCTTTTAAGCAAGAATTTCACTATACTTCCCTTCTTCAGCCAACTTTTCAGCAGTGCTACTAATAACCAACAAAACAAACTGGCTTGAGTTTAATCTCCTTTGCCTACCCATTCTTGCTTGCCAGTTGAAGTTATAAATAGAGATAAGACCAAAAGCCCAGAAAGAAGACAAGAACACCAAGGGCCTAGGGCACTCATATATATGCCTGAACACTGAAAGTTACTATATAAACAAGGATTTCACTGCTGATGATATCCTTACATGGTTTTAACATTTGAGAGACATTTTTGTGATAATTTTCTGAATAGTTTACAAGCAGCCGCAGCAAAGTATAGTATATCAACATAAGTCAGAAACAGTTGCCTAAAAACCACAAGATTTTTCTTTAACCTTAGTTTTGCAGCTAACTAGATTTTTAAATTTAAGTCGCACTCTCTTAAGTAGAATTAGTTCCTTATCTGTCATATAATAAATGGACATAAGTCAATATTTTCCATAATTAACTCACAATTATTTAAGTTGTTTTTATATGTATTTGAGTATACCATACCAAATAAAATCTATAAAACACTATTGTATCTTATATGATCTACTAGGTACATCTTTATCCTAAAATACAACAATTAGACACAGGTTGCATAGAAAAAGACTAACAGATTCTTGGTAAAATATTACCTCAGTGGGGAATGGGTGTTCTATTCAATAAACAGTGTGGGGGAAATTAGCTCTTCATTTGGAAAAAGAGCTAATCACTTATTTTACACCATTCAGAAAACGAATTCTAGATAAATTAAATAAACACATCAATATGTGTTTATACATGTGTTTATACATGTATACAGTATTTATTATACTACATATAAATATTTTATACAAAATACAGAAAAATAATTTCATAATCATGAAGGGCCCTGTAGGCCATTGTAAAGACTTTGGCTTTTTACTCTTAAGTAGAATGGGAAGACATTAGGGAATTTTGAATGAAGTAGTAAAATGATCTATCTGCCCTATGTTTGAAAGGATCATTCTGTATGTTATGTGAAAAACAGACTGTAATGGACAAGGATGAAAACAGAGCTCTCATTAGGTACTGCAAAAATTTAGGTGAGACACCTAATTCATGGACTAAGGTGGTGACATTGAGGAAGAGGTACTGAGAAGTGGCAAGATTCTGGATAGATTTTGAAGGTCAAGTTGACAAGTGGTATAAGAGGAAAAAAAAACCATTAAGAAGGTTCCTTCCAAGTTTTAGGCCCAGTTATATCTAAAAATGGAGGCGCCATTCACCAAGGTGGAAAAGACTATGGGAGAAGCAAGTGTTATGCAGCTCCATTTTTCCATGTTAAGTTTAAGATGCCCATTACACATCCTAGCAAGATATCAAGTAGACAGTTGGATATATAAATTTGGAATTCACAGACATGTGGATAGCAAATATAAGTTAAAGCATGAGTTTCTGTCATAGGCAGCCTCCAAGATGGTCCCCAGTGAGCCCACATCTTGGTATTCCTGCCCTTGTATAGTCTCCCTTTGAATGTAGACTGGATTTCATGACTCCCATCTAGTAAAGAGAGTGCTGCAAAGATAATGCGATATCGTTTCCAAGACTGGATTACAAAATGACTATGGCTTGCATCTTGGGTGCTCTCCCGCATTTTCTCCTGGATTACTCATTCTGAGGGCAGTCGATGGCTAGGTTGTGAGGCCGTTCTGTAAGGAACCTATGTGGCCCACTAGCATCTGTATGAGTGAGCTTAGCTATCCTTCAGACGAGCCTGCAGCCCAATGGCTTGACTGCAACTTCACAAAGGCCTTGAGCCAGAGACACCCATCTGAGATGTGCCCTGATTCCTACTCACAGAAACGGTGAGATAATACATATTTGTTGTTCTAAGCCACCAAGTTTTAGGGTAATTTGTTACATATCAATCAATAATACCGTTATGGTATGCAAAGCACTGTTCCAGGAATTCTATGTGACTTTTTACAGTTGGAGAAACTGAGTCACAAAGATGTTGCATCACTGCCCAACACCACACATATATGGGAGAGGTGGGACTCAAACTCAGGCTGTCTGACTCCAGAACGTAGGCTCTTAATGCTCCACGACAAGATCCCCCTTAGAATAACCTTTTCTCCCACTTCAGATGTGCATACCTGAAACGTGGCTTTCTGCTGCAGACAGTGTTAACATCACAGAGTTTATACAAACAATGGCCCATGTTCATCTTCACCAAACTTCTTAACCTGCCACATAGCTCTATAATTCTATTTTTGATATCCTGAATATACTACAATCTATACTCAACTGTCAAAGAAGATGGAAAGGTGGTTTCCTGGTGTGTGAAGAGTAATCTCAGTCTTGTTCTTTAATTTCAGCCTGATAAATCTGGTTGATTTAACTATGAGAGAATTTCCAGCAATTTACAAGTGCTCTAATACATATTCCTATAGACTGAGCATCACTTTAGATATGTAAAGAGTTCTCCCTAAAGCCACTCAGTGGTGAAAAAACAACACAATATTGAATAAGACAGCCCCAGTAATTTCTGCTTGAATTGTTTTTAATAATAAGGGCAGTTGGCAATAGAAAGTCACAATGGATTCAAACAGTATTAAGTTTTAAAGTAGGAACTGGCCAAGACCGAACCATAAAAAATAAAATTAAAAAAAAAGCTTTTGAACTATATAAAATACAATGGCTACTGCCCCTTTAATTATTATAACGAATTAAAACATTTC